AGCAGCGGTAGCAGCAGCGGTAGCAGCAGCGGTAGCAGCAGCGGTAGCAGCAGCGGTAGCAGCAGCGGTAGCAGCAGCGGTAGCAGTGGCCGTGAAGATCCGAGCGAACCTTCAAACACGCGCCCCCTGTCGTAAGGCTTCGTATTTGAAGAAGCAATCCTCCGATTCCCGGATATTGCAATCCACGGTGTGCTGCTGCCGCTACTGCCATACACGGGGCCAGGGGTAGAATATCAATAGAGACCCGAGACCCCTGCTCCTCCCGCTCACCCCCTCCTCCTCCAGCTCGGCACCCCGTACTACTACCAGCGCGACGCCGCCGTGGCGTGACGTGACGCGCCGTACTTTCGACCAAAGTACTTCTTCTTCTTCCTCATTTCAGCCCGTCAGCCGGGAGGGCCAACACTTTGGCCACACACCCTCTTGTCGTCGTAACTCCGTCCCCCACCTGGCGAGGCGGCGGTGGGCGGCGGCGCGTACCCAGAGCGGGGGGCTGTGTCCCCAAAGGCAGCAGCACCTATAAATGTGGGGGCGGCCCCTTTGTTTGCATTACGGTGGCCCATAGGGTCCCCCGAGGCAGCAGCAGGGGGTTGGGCCCCAATAATGGCGATTGACCGCAACGGTTTGCTCGTCCTAATTGGGATCACGCCCGACGAAAGCTGCTTTGGCGATGGCGCCGCCGCGGTCCGGTACCTCTGCACGGGGCCAGGCCCGGCGCCACGCACCGCTCACCCCGCCGGAATACAAAGCAAATTGTGCTCACGGCGAGCGGGGCGGGGCGGGGCGGGCACAGGCAGCCCGCTGCTCTGCGGTCGCGCGGCCGTTTGTTTTGCCCGCCATCCCCACAACAGCTTAACCCTTTCCCAGGCGGAAATGAAGCCGCACGGCGCCCTGGCGCCCGCGCAGGGCCGGTGTGCGTCAACTTTACGTGCAAGTAAGTAGGCCATAAAAATACATACAAACAATAAACAAATAAAACAACATTTCATTTCAAAAAAACAATAAAAAAGTTCAGTAACAAATTGTGGCGATACATATTTCTGTGGAGAGCACACACACACATAAAAGTAGGAACTCGACCACGCAATACAAGGCAGGAAAAAGAGACTGCTAGAGTCGTTCGGCGCGACAAAGGACGCTCGTTATTGGCTGCTCGTGTTTGACCTGTCTTTACGGCGCGAAGACACGGTCGTATCGTTGAGAGCGACACAACAAGATCGATTCGGTTCCGTTCCGCCACTACCCTACACCCAGAAAAAATGTTTCTTGTTTCTAGCACATTCCTTGTTTCAAGTAAATGCTGACGTACCAAAGATCAATTTTACTTTCGAAACAAGGTGATATTGTCTTTCGAATGAGAGAAAATTTTATTCAAAAGACAATACTGACTTGTTCCAAGAGTGAATTTAATCTTGGGTCAGCACGCTCTTGCAACAAGAAACCATTGTTCTGCTCCTGCTCCGCGCTCTCGCTCCGCGAGGGACGCCAGCGCCAGCGCGGCGAACGCCTGCCGCGGGCGGGATAGGCAGAGCCGGCAGACACCGGCGCGCCGCGGGTCTGCCTACCCCGCAGGGAGCCCCCGTGCGCGCCGCCTGCCGCGCCCGCGGTTACCCGCAAGTTTGCCAACAGAGTTATACAAATGTGAAGCGATAGGTCGAAAACCACGACGTCTTGGCGATAGGGAGGGGTAGGGACTTTATTGTTGTTGTTGTTTCCTCACTAGCTCCGCGACACGCATCAGATCGCTCGTGACGGCCCCAGTCGCGGGTAGTTACCAGGGACGACCATTCTAACGTAGGGCCCCGTGCGTTATTGTCAGGCACGGGGTAGCTGAGCGAAGTGTGTTGACTAACAGGGTAATGATAAAATTGCGATGGGGATGTATAAACTTTCAGGAGGCGACTCCTGCACCTGGTTTAGCGAACGACCCGACAGCCGTCATGACTGCATGCTGCACCACTCGCTTCTTGTGGTATCTGTAGCCTCAAGTTATGTCAAGAATCGCAAGTGGACAGGGTGGGGCCAAATAACTGCGTCTCTAGTACTCGAGGGAAGTCCTCCTCGCCCAATCGCCCGCGCACTCAAATCCAAAAGGTGTACATTAAGTTGAATGCATATAAATTAAAATAAATACTAAAAGATATCTAGAGTCAGAAAATTAGTTTTATTCATTTAACAAATTAACAAATCATTGGCCAATTTAGGTTAGCCCCAAATGGGCCTTTAGCTGGTAGCTACCTTTAATTGCTGCTGTAAATACAAAGAATATTATTAGTTGGGAATAATCTGATAAAAGTGTGCAGTGTTTCTGCACAGCTACTAACTACAAAGAGTACATACACACAACTATTACATACCAGTCCAGTTGCAACCTCAATCGCTTTAAAAAACTCAGAGAGTTTGGTCTTCACTAAACTTTGGCCCTCCTTATTGAAGTGTATGAGATCAATATCTCCACTTTGAAATGTCCTAGGGGAAAAAAGTAATTAGAGATCATGTGCTTTTAGTGGGCTGGGGGGAGCGGGGGGGCCTTGGTTAAGTCAATTAATAGCAGATGTTACCTCTGAAACAGACCCATTTTTGGGGTGCCACTTTCATCTACAAACAACTTGTGCAAATCAAACACATGTACATTATCTAGGAAACAATAAAAATTTTGTGAGCTGGCAATCAAGGTTAAGATATCAAAAAGCAAAAAGAGGGCAAAAAGGGGGGAAAGTTACCTATGCCTTTTGCAACCTCCTTTATGAGGGCATTTATGCCATCCACCTTTTCCTGGCTGTCCAGCCGAGGAATTGGTGGAATAGTCATAAGGACTATAGAATCACTCTCTTTGAAGCATTTTAGAACCGCAATGAGCGCATTTTTCGTGCATTCTAGTGGGACATTCTGAAAATAACAACATTGTGTTGTAAAAATTTAAACCCTATGTAGCTCATTAAACAAAATCTACAGTGTTTTTACCTTCAGTGCATCATTTGTGCCAATTAAAATGGCAAGCCTCTTTGCTAAGGGAGGGCAAGATTTTGACTTGATAAGCCTGTGCAGTTGACTGCAAGTTTGTCCATGGACAACATAGCCAATCTGTTTAGCCTCTGTAAATGAGAACAAAAGTGTGTTAAATTTCAACTTTTCAGCCTGGACACATAAGTGGATTAATATACTTTTTTCATTGAAGTCCTTACTTTGTGCGTTGTACTTCGCCCTAATTGGTGATATCCTAGATATCATGCTATCGCCGATCAGTTGATAGTTCTCAAATATTGGTGCCTAAAGGGACAAAGCAAGGGATGAACATAAATGTACTTTCGTGCATTAGCTGGTCACGGCGCGGCACTCAATGTGTTACCGAATCTCTCAGAACATTTGCACAACCCAAAATAAGCTTACTCACAGGTGCCTGTTGGCCGCTACTCTGCGCGCTCTGCTGCCGCTGCCTCTCAACGCGGCCCTGCGCTACCCGGTGTAGGCCGCGCCCGCCGCCATGTTGTCCTCCCCGGCTGGATCCGCGCCCGCGTCCTCCCTGGCCATGGCCACCGCCACCGCCGTGATGTCCTCCACCTCCACGCCCATGACCACGTCCATGTCGGTAGCTACCGCCGTGATGACCACCTCGTTCACGTCTGGCGCCGCCGCCGCCGCCGCGCTGTCCTCCCGCGATGTCAAGGAACATTTGGGCGGCCCCCGCGAGTGGCACGGACATAAGGAGGGCTTGCTGCCCTGCTTGCTCAGACATCTACGAAACAAACACATTCTTTTAGTTTGACCCCACTAGTTTCCCGCCGTGCATCACGTAACTCCAAATCAAACAAACGTAAACTCAAAACAATATTCAGGCATACCTTTATAACCAAACTCTTCCACAAAGGCACCAAAGCTTCGAACTACTGTAACGGACTGCGTCTGAGGTTAAACTGCCGCCCGGCCGCAAATTGCCAACATAACCTGCTTCCCGCCTGTTTCCTTGTATCAGGTTTCCTATGAGGAGAAATCCAGCAGGATTTTATTAATAGAAAAGAAAAGGAAATAAAAGTTAAGCAGGACATTTTCTGTACTTACCGGTAACTGGGGCAACCTCCGAAAAAGAAAAGAAAAGAAACGCAGTCTGAGGGTTGGTACGGATGAGAGGAGCGGAAAGGGAGGGAGAGGTGGGAAATATACTTTGAATTTGAATAGTTAAGTTTAAGTTTTCATAGCAGAATGTTTAATTGAGTAACTAGTTTTACAGTACAGCATAGCAGCCCAATTGTTTTCAGAGCACCGCATTGCGGGCCGACGTACTCAGTATTTAGTTTTACAGTACTGCATAGCAGCCCAATTGTTTTCAGAGCTCCGCATTGCGGGCCGATTTACTGAGAAATTTTGTTTTACAGTACTGCATGGCAGCCCAATTGTTTTCAGAGCACCGCATTGCGGGCCGA